CTTTGTGGGCCATATGATCTCTGTCTCAACTACTCAACTTTACTGTCAGAACATGGAAGAAGTATAGACAATACATGAATGAATGGGCTGCCTGAATTGCAATCAAATTTCATTTATGGGCTCTGAAATTTGAATTTCCTATAATGTTCATGTGTCACAAAATATTCTTCTTTTGACTTTTTTCAACTATTTAAAAATGTAAAAATTACTCTAAGCACATGACTATATAGAAACATTTGGTGGGTCCAAATATGTCCACAGGCCATAGTTTGCTGATTCCTAGTGCAACACATTCACTCACTAAGACAAAGTGTCCTTCCATGTATCACAGTCTGAACCACAAGGACAACTGAGCTCTTTTCACGTCAGTACTGCTGAATTAAAAAAAAAAAACATAGTGGTAGAAGGGGAGGGAACAATGCAGGTGGAGAGATGTCTGTGATCAATGAACTTTTATCCACAGCTTAGCACAGTGGTTTTCAGCCCTGGCTACATATCGGAATCACCTGGGGAGTTTTAAAACATGCTGGCACCTAGATCCCACACCCAGAGAGTCCCATGTGACTAGCCTCAGTATAGTCTGGACATGGGCGTTTTAATAGCTCCCCAGGAGTTTCTAATGTGCGTCTGAGGATGAGGGCCACTCATCTCACATAAGACTATTAATAAAGACACAGCATTTGGGGATCACCAAAGACTAGAAGATCGAGCTACATTCATTTTTAGTTATCTCTTTCCCAGTTAGCAGGCTCATCTCACTTTCTAATTGCAGTCTCCATTGGCCGTCTTTCCTGCATATTCATTGTCGCTCCAAAATAACTATAAGAAGTTAGGAAAGCTCATAAACCTCAGAAAGAATATTGTGCATTGTCTCTGTGTTGTGTTGCACATTAGTCTCATCGTCCCAGTGAGTTTTAGGATCTCTCAGGTTCAGGCTGCCTTAGGAGAGCACACATTTAACCATATGGGAACAGGCTCAACACTGTCAGTCACCCTGGGAAGGTTGGATCCTGGGAAATTATTTCCTGGCTACAAATCCTAGGAGACCTTTATGTAAAGCAGAAAGGCAGCTCATTACATTATGAGGATCCTACCCTTGGATCCTCTGTCTAGAAATGGATATATCTGGGAAGCTGTTATCAAGATTTTTGAGCAACATGGTGCCGTGCTGAACCCCTATTAACCTCAATAGGGAAGCTGCCAGGTTCAAAAAACTCAGAGCCGGCAAACGAGACGTACGATTTTATTAGCATCTTATACACAGGGAAGAGTCCACCAGTGGTGGGCTGGGCAGGAAAACCACAACCGCTTGCAAATAACAATGTAGTTTATATAACATTTTCACTTAAAACCTTCCCCCTAAACAACCTCCACCTGGAAACCTTCATTTAACCCAAAACTCGGGGCCTCAGTCCCTGGTGTGGCCCGTGTTCCATGAGAAGGGCCAGGGGCTCAGATGGTTTTCATAGGTAAGAAACAAATCTCAGGGCTGGCCACTCCTGAGTTCCCTAGCTTGGAACAAACATTCATATGCATCTGCCATACAGGGTCATTGTAAGAGTATACTGAAATTCTTGCTGTTGGATGTGTTTACCCTACCCATGGAATTAGAGATAACAAAACAGAAGGCTTTTAAAGTATATTTCATAAGGTAAAGTAAATGAAACTCTTTCCTAATCTGGAAAATGTGTCTTTCAGCAACTCAGAATATCCAAACTCCCAGACAGTGACATATCCCCACATTTGGGCCTTTTAGAATGAGATAAATGTATCTCTTTCTTGCCGGTTTTTACTTAACCACATTTATCTTGAAGGTTTGTTGGCACTGATTTATCATACTTTTTATTTAAATCTAAGTAACATGATAGCTGAATCAAAAAATTGCTTTTTCTTAGTTGACCTTTAAACTTCACAACTTTAATTTTGACTTGACATAGCTTTTATCCTTTTCCAATTTAAGTGGCAAAGATTCATGTATTTTATGTCATATTTTACATAACTTCTAAATGAGTTGGCACCCAAATATTTATGACAATATGCCTTATTAGACTAAACCTTTTCCGAGTTTAATCAACTGGAAAAAAAATTTTTGAGAAGCTCACAATAAATGTCAGGGACAAATGTGAAAGTCTATGTCATTTTTGAGATAATGCTGCTGGCAATGATAATTTGCAGTAGCTGACTTACAATCACAAGAATTTTTTCCTTATTATAGGATAACCTCTTGAATGTCACCACCACAATTAATCAACTTCTGCCAGAGCTTCTACATAAGTAGCACTTTTGGTTTCAGCAAGGCTAATCCATGATGAGGCCTTTCTGAAAATCACCTGGCTCTGGGAAGACCTTCCACACACACACAGGCAGAAATACCCACATGAGTCCCTTTGGTTCATAACTTCTCGGCTCATTTCTGCAAGATTCACCCCTGCCCTTTCTTTTTAAAGAAGATTTTACCTGAAACAGTAGGGAGACATATTTTTGTGTTAACATTGTTCTAGAGAACCTATGGTCACAGTACAGCATCAGCGGGAAAGTCTATATGCCTCTCCTAAGTAGGACCTCTGAGATGAGCGGAAATACTTGGAAGGGTACAAATGTGGCTAACTGTTGTCAAATGTAGAAACGTCATGCTCCAGGTAGAAGGGTTCAGGAAAATCACCAAGAAAATTAGAGTTCCAAAGTGTATCAATTTACTTAATCACAAAATTTTACTCTCTTGTCAGAATCAACAGACACGGTCTTAGACATCTTCTCAGCTGAGTCCATAGTACTATAATTTACTTATAGTGCCATCTCTACAAAGAGGAAGCCACAGATCCTTTCTGCAGAGACTCTTTAGTAAAAAAGAAATGCCACCCTTTAGTAACCACTCTTTAGTAACATAGAAAATTTTCATAATTCTCATAATCAAGTCCCAAGAAACTAACTCCTAGCTCCTTGTTCCTTTGATTATCTTCTGTTTGATAGTTCACTCTATAAATGCAAAACCTGCCAGGCTGTAATGACTTGTTCTTAGTGAAATGATGAGTAAGCAGTATGAGAAACTAGAATGGTCACAGGCTTTGGGTAGACTGACAATACTGTTTTTATGCTGATAGCATGGTGGTTTGTCGGTGTGTGTATGCATGTGTGTGTGTGCACACATACATGTATGGAATAATTATTTAACCTCTCCAAGACTCAATTTCTTCATTTAAAAAATATTAAATAATATTCTAAAACATATTTTACAGGGATATTGGTGGATGGAAAATGGCTAACGCCTAGAGGATACTAAGTAAATGCCACTGCTATTCATGATTATTGAAGGTGGTGGTAGCTGGTAATGTGGTCCAGGACAAATTTGGTTTTGGTGACTTCTCTGGTGCACAGCTTTGAAAACACTTAGGAGTTGTGGTTGACAGTTCTATCCAATGGTCATTGCCTATTCTTCTGCCTGATTTGTCTTCTAGTAATGATATGTGCACATTTAAACATTTAAACATTCTTTTAAAAAATATTCCTTTATTCTATTTAGTCTTTCCTCTTATTGGCTTAACTGTAAGTCCTCATCACTATTAACCACTGCTGGTATGCTTTACCAATAAAATGTGTACTATTTTATTTTTTTTTTTTTTAGACGGAGTCTCGCTCTGTCGCCGAGGCTGGAGTGCAGTGGCGTGATCTTGGCTCACTGCAAGCTCCGCTTCCCGAGTTTACGCCATTCTCCTGCCTCAGCCTCCCGAGTAGCTGGGACTACAGGCGCCCGCCACCTCGCCCGGCTAGTTTTTTGTATTTTTTAGTAGAGACGGGGTTTCACCGTGTTTGCCAGGACGGTCTGGATCTCCTGACCTCGTGATCCGCCCGTCTCGGCCTCCCAAAGTGCTGGGACTACAGGCTTGAGCCACCGCGCCCGGCCAGATGTGTGCTATTATATGTGCATTTGTAACTTATTAAGACAGTAACTGAGAGAGTAAAACTCATAAGGACTTCTGTTTTACCACTTAGCGTATTTTGTGCCTACTGAGGAAAAAGAATAAAATGGGAACAAACACTTCTCTTAAACTCCAATTTGTCAAAATTTATGTTGACTTATGAAGCTCATTTAATAAGAAAATTGTGAACACCTCAAGGGCAAGAACTGCTTTTTCATTTATTGTTATTGGATTGAATTGAATCGTTTTAGCACACATGAAAGTGATTCAAGCTCATTTACCAAATGTCATTATTTTTGTACCATATTTATTAAATGTCCACCATGAATTAGACACTAAAACAACACAGAGAAATGAAATATAACTTCTAATCTTTGATTAAATATGTATTGAGTGGCTTCTTTGTACTAAGTCACTACAAAGCTGCTGGAGATACATGATAATTATGGCATAGACTCTGTTCCCAAGGAGTTCATAGTTTAATGAAACACCCAAGCTCTCATATGTGGATCCACTAGGGAGTCAAACAAGACATTGTGCAGTCAAGTACTAAATACAGTAGTCAGGCAAAGACCATAAGTCAATAGGAACTGAGTGGAACAGAGGTTGACAAGGCTTCTGCTTGACAGGAAAGGCCTAATGGGGAAGGCTGGACTTCATTTGCCTTTGAAGACTGAGAAAGATTTGCATAGATGGAGAGTGGTTAAGAGGGCATAACAGGTGGAGAGAAGGTAAGAAAAGGCCTCAGGAGGTGGAATTCAAGATGGCGAGTTGAGAAAATGGTAAGGAACCCAAACTGGCTGAGAGAATGCTGGTAAGCAGAAGGAAACAAAATGAGAAAGATGGGGTGAAGTTTAATTCCAGTGACCCTGGAGTCAGGCAAATGGAGACAAATCTAGTGATACCCTCAGGGTCTTTGAGGAGGAAGGTGACATGATAGTTTCTGAGCAGTTCCAGTGTGACTCTTGTGAACTCAGTGTGGTTCACATGTTCTTATCAGTTTCCTCGTCAGCTTTACTCTGCCTGTGTATTTGGTTGCTGCTCTGCTTCCATGTTAAAGTCAGAATATGCTTTCTCATTTAGGGGAAACACTGGCTCATCAGATCTCAATGACCAGGAAGCTGGTTCTAGGACCCCAAAGAGCAGTAGGAGCAGTGGTGTGACCCCAGTCACTCAGAGGTCTCCAGCCCCAAGCACACGAAGTGTGACCTCAGTCATCAGTAGAGTAAGTATACAAACCTGATGAACACTGTATTAGTTCGTTCTCGTACTGCTATAAAGAACTGCCAGAGATCGGGTAATTTATAAACCAAAGAGGTTTAATGGACTCACAGTTGCGCATGGCTGCAGAGGCCTCAGGAAACTTACAATCATGGCAGAAGGAGTCTGTCAAACACTTGTAAAACTATCAAATCTCGTGAGAACTCACTATCACCAGAATAGCACAGGGGAAGGCTCCCTGATGACTCAATCATCCACCACCAGGTCCCTCCCTCGATACATGGAGATTGTGGGGATTACAGTTCGAGATGACATTTGGGTAGGGACACAGAGCCAAACCATATCAGACACGGAGTCTCTGAAATTCAACCTCACCACTGCATCGTGGCTAGGTTTCAACTCTCTATATATCAGAGCATGTTCTTTATGCTCTTTAAAGGTAGAAGCTTCATCAGGACTGAACCTCCTGCATCTTAGCTCCTGGAAGGAAACCCAAAGTGAAAAAGGGAAGGGAAAGACCAGATTCAAAGGTAGTACTTGTATGATGGAGGTTTAAATTGCTATATGGTTTAAATAAATATAGAACATTTTAGAAGGCTCCGATTTTGATCCTCTCTGTTACTCTTTAGAGAAAATATTCATAGGTTGAGTGCACAAATTTTTCCAAACTGTTTTAAATCTGGAAAAGTAGAACTGTTATCTAGTTTTTAAAGTAGAAATTTTTATAGTTTTCTTTTCTATACATCTGTTAAAATAGGGGGTCAACATATAATGAAGGCTTAAATTGTATTTTTTTTATATATATATGTGATCAATTCTATTTTCTATTGGTTTTCTCTTTTAAAAGAATATGAAAAAAGTATTTTGGGAAAAATGTTCTCTTTTATTAACTATTCCGTTGGAAGTTGTATTTGGAATGAATTAGCATATACTAGATTTTTTTATTTAGCAGGAAGCTCCATCCATTGCTGGCATCTATATTTGATAAATCTTTATATGAGCAGTGAGTTCATACAATACAAACAATTTTTGACTCAACCAACATTTAATGAGAACCTACTATATAACAGACTCTAGTCAAGCAAAGACTTGAAGGAAGTGAGAGAATTAGCAATGTAGTTTTCTGGGGCACGGTGTTCCACCAGGCAGAGACAGCACTGATATTTAGCAGGTACATGCAGGGAAGGCTGCTCCACTTCCTTGTAGCTGGCCTCCATCTTGATTGGTCAGTGCCCTTGCTCAGCCAGTTTCTAAAATATTTTTAATGCCTCTAGAAGAACAGCCAGTGTGGAGCCCCTGAGGTGGGAGCACACCTGGTATGTTCAAGGAAGAGGAAGGAGGCCAATGCAGCTGTGGTGAGTGAATGAGGCAAAGTGAACTAGGAAATGAATCCAAAGAGGTCATAGGGCTGGAGAGAGCCTTGAAGAGTGATGTGTGCAGTCAGCATTCACACTGATTAAGATGGGGGAAACTGGAGGTTTTACAGCAGAAGAGTAACATAATCTGCCTTCTCTTTAAGCAGGATTTGGGGGTTGTGCTGAGAACCAGCTGTAGAGAACAAGAGTGAAAGCCAGAAAAGCAATCAGTAAGCCATCGTCATACCCCATGTGAGAGACTGGGTTTTGAAACAAAGAGATAGTGGAGGTGGCGAGTAGTCAAATTCTGTTAAGGCATTCAGACAGACTGAACAACAATAATAGATTTATTTAAACATTTATAGTCTAACTCGTAGTTGCTAAGATAAAAGGCATATTTAAAATTTCATAAATATTTATGCTAAGGTCAGCAAGCCATTTCTGTTCAATAGCTAGAAAGGTGCATGGATAGTTGACGAATACACTCAACTCCTGGAATCTAAAGAGGAATGATATTCAAACTACTTAGTGACCAGTCTGGCAGGGACGTTGAGAAATCACAACAGACACTGGCACAAGGCTGGGGCAGTATCCTGGGGACCCTTCCATGTCATGCACTAGATCTGAATTATGGGGAGACCTGGGCTTATGGATGAGGGTGAGCACAGGGAAGTGGGGAGTGGACTGGGAGTAGTGCTGTTTATCAACTGACACAGAAATATTTTTTAAAATTTTACATCTAGTACAGTTGTCCCAGTGGGTAGCAGCTGACAATCAGTCCAATGACCAATAAGTTAATCAAGTTTATTCTCACAACAAAGTTTATCTTCCTACGTACAATTTGAGATTATTAGGGGGGAAATCACCCTTTTCATGTGCTAATACCCTCAAAACTAACAACCCCTACTTGTGTATTTCTTTGTTTAACAGCGCCCAGATTTCCCCAACAGAAATTCCCTGCAATTTAGTAGACTATGTGTACATATATGTAGGCAGTGCCTATGTTGAGCTCATTCTTGCAATCTACGTGGTCTAAGTTGGTCTTTTCTAAGAGAAAAAAAGAGAAACAAAGAGAAGAACTTTCTATTGAATAAAAATAAGACAGCACAGTAGTTTATGAAGTACATTTGCTCTTTCATTATACAGGGAAGTATATAGCCTTAGATGGGAAGTATATAGCATTAGATGATGAACAAGGTAACAACTTCTCAATTTCTCCCATTTCTTAGCATCTCTTTGTTTCAATGTTCTTTTCTGCTTTAGCATGAAAGAAAATATATTAGTCAGGGATCTCCACAGGGATAGAACCGATAAGATATATGCAGATATATATAAGGGAGTTTATTAGGGAGAATTTGTTCACACAGTTACAAGACAACGTCCCACGATAGGCTGTCTGCAAGTTGTGGAAAGAGAGAAGACAGTAGGATGGCTCAATCCAAGTCCAAATGCCTCAAAACCAGGGAGGCTGACAATGTAACCCTAGTCTGAAGCTGAAAGCCCAAGAGCCCCTGGGAGGCTGCTGGTGTAAGTCCCAGAGTCTAAAGGCTGAAGAACCTGGAGTCTGATGTCCAAGGATAGGAGGAGAGGAAGCCAAGTGTCTGGTGCAGCTTGGGAAGAGAAAGAGTGAGCAGACTTAGCAAACAAGCTGCTTATCCCTGTTATTTCATGTGCTTTGTTCTAGCCACACTGGCAGCTGATTGGGTGGTGCCCACTCCACACTGGGAATAGGTCTTCCTCTCTCAGTCCACTGACTCCAGTGTCAGTCTCCTCTGGCAACACCCTCACAGACGCACCCAGAATAATACTTTATCAGCCATCTAGGCATCCCTCAATCCAATCAAGTAGATACCTAATATTAACCATCACAGAAAACTTTTAGAGCATGAAAGTCTCTAACCTGTCCTCTACTGTGATGTAACCTATTAATTTTAGACTTGACATCCTGAACCTCTGGGGTATGTATTGCTTGTTAATGACACTGTAATATTAATTGGCCTATTATTGCACAATACTAATGATACTCACAGATCACCTGTGGGAAAACTTGCCATTAACATAATTGCCTCCAAGGAACTTGGTCTTGCTTCATTAGAGGACTCCATGTGTGAACAACTTTTTGAAGAGGTTGAAAATTGACCTAAACTAATTTATCAAATTGACCTCTGTCACACTCTTGATAAACTTTGCTTGTCTATGGCAATTAGAGGAAGTTAGAAGCTATATACCTCCTGCTACAGGTATTATATGTTGGAGAATAATAAGATACTAAAAACAGTCTAAATTGAAACTGAATCAATTAGCATGTTAAGCAAGTGAAAGCCACATTTCACTGTAGTGAGTTCATCAAAGTGTTCCTGAATGTCTAAGATATGGGAAACAGGGAGGAAATTCTTCCTCTAGGGTTTCAAAAGGCACTTTTTGATTGTTTATAGAAGGGAGAAGTGAAAAATCTGTTTTAGATTTGATCATTATCATACCATGATGTAATTTGAATGGACTCTTAACCTCAGCCCAGTTCTGGAAAGGTCCAAAATTTGTTGTAGTTGTTGTTTTAACACTCAAGCAAGCTTCAGATGAGGCAGCAGTCAAGCCCTGCCTTGGTCTATGGCAGGGCAAAGGTCACAGACAAAGTTGGGTCTATGGTCATGGGCAAAGTTGGGACAGAATTTTCTTTAACATGTGTTACAATAAAAGCAAGTCCCAGACTGAATTCTGCCACATGTACAAGCATTTGTTAACAAGCAGACACCACACAAAAGAATACTATTCCTGTGAACTTGGGAAGTTTTCTCTCTTTATCTTTTTATGAACATTGATAAGTACCATGCATGAAAGTCATTCCAAAATAGATGTAACCATCCATATTCTGACCAGCCAGCCTTCTAGATGGAAAAGGTACATGGTGTTCTGTTAAATGGGAGTGGAAGAGGTAAGGGATGGTTGAAGAGAGGGTATGTTGAAAGAGGGAACAAAATAGGACCAAACAGAGTTTTAAGCCTGAATCTTGCCAGATTATTATACATAGTTCATATAAGATTGAGGGTACCTGTATAATCGTTCTTATTAATCATCTATTAGAACACTCATTAATTTGGGGAATAAAAAATTGTCCAGATACCTTTTGCACTAATTAACAAACCTCTTGGAATAGATTTTGGATAGCAATTATTGATGGTAAATTTTGGAGTTACATGGACTCCTGGTGAGGGTCCTTCAAATGTCAATTAGGTCCTCCTAAATAGTAATACCTATAAAGGTGTTTATACTGGAGTATATTTTATATAGATGAATTTTGTAGTAAATTACAGTCAGTATAATTTGTTTTTCTCATTTTTACTTTGTGGGAAGGAGTATGGTTTTGAAAATTCCACAGATTTGGCTGCTCTTGAAGGTACCTCTCAGGAGTTCACAAAGAGTCACCGCAGAAACACTTCTGGCACACCTTCCATAGCAGTGTCTGGAACCTCTCTCTCCTCAGGTGGGTATTTACAACGTGCCTACTCTGTTGTTTAAAATGACTAAAACTAATGGAATTGACTGATATGTATGGTATTAAATGGATGTCTCATACTTTAAAAAGTAAGCATCCCTTCTTTGACCTATGGTGGTAGGCCACTCCATAAGAACTGCTCGAAGATAGACCCAGGTAATGCTTTGGGCACCTTACGTTTGTGAAAATTCCACTTATTTAGTATATACTCTTGCCAGGCATCATCACCGAGTTTCAGTGCTACATCAGAATATCAATATTTGAATGTAGGGAATATGAACGGTTCCAAGATACATTTGATATGACAGATAAGAACGCTAGCTCAGAATTCAAGGAAATGGTAGTTCAATTGACATAGTGGTCAGAAGTTTCCTACATAAAGACAAAAGAAAATCATTCTGTGGTTTAAATAAGAAGTTATTTGCAAGCAGCACTAAGATATTAATAATTACCCCTTTCATTTGCATAGTACACTCAAATATGTCATTTTACTTCATTATCACAACTGTCCTCTGAAGCAGCTATTATTCAGTTTGAAATGTTAATATCTATGACTAAGAAAATTCTTCAGAGAAATTTGTCATAATTATGAAGCTTATGTCCCATGCATGGAATAAAAATCATGATGAAATCTTCAACATTAAAAAGTTACGTGTTCCTAATGATGACATATGCATAAAGCCTAAGGCAGGATTCTGTATGCTGAATTGAGGAGTCTGTTCTAGCCAGCCAGCTCCCAAAGGGTTTTCTAAATGTGTGTGGTTATTGCTACATTTTGCTCAGAAGTAAAAAAGCTGTTCACCTGTTAATTAAATTTTTAAACTAGTTTAGAAACCAACATCATGGGGTCTACTTCTATTACTACTTCGACTCAACAACTCCTGTTAATTGAGTACATACTCTGTGTCAGGCCTATGCTAAGCACTTCTGCATTATTTTTTTCATCAATTCAAACTTAAGTACTTGATTACTCTCTCCAATCTTTCTCATTTAAAAGTAACTATATCAATCTCAGTAGTGCTTTGGTATAGAACTATTTTGTGGCAATAAGCTGTGCTGACTTGGTAAGCTGTCTACAGCATTACTAAGAGGTGTATTGCTCTGTAACTTATATTTTCAAAACTGAAAACAAGATGTTATTCTGATGAAAGAATGTTTTGGTCCCTTAAGAAATAGAACTTCCTCTCGTTGCATCTATAGCGTCTCCTCTTTGTGTGAAAGGAACTTGCTATATCATTTCAAAGTGGCAGTTTAGAATCAGTTGCATTGAATTTTATGTCAAATCTGAAAACACAGTGAATTCTCTAAACATTGCAAGCAAGAATTGTTAAGGTTTTATTTTTTTCTAAATTTAAGGGCCCAGTCTAAGAGAGTTTTTTAAAGTCTAGGAGCAAAGCAGTTGCCTTAAACAGCTTAAAACATAGCATTTTACAGTAAAACATTTAACCTCCTGTGATAGAAGGAAACATGAACACATAAGTGTAATTTGGTCCAAGGCAATTACCAAAATATTATTAAAAATGGAAGTATGTTGTCATAAACAGCATGAAGTTACTGACTCCGACTGTTGCTTTCATGGCACATTTATGATCTGTGCCTATAAAGAACTGAAATAAAGGTGAAACACTCACAATAAAAAATGAAATCTTCTCACAAAATATGATGACTCACGTCTTTCTTTTTCCTTTCCACCTTCCAGATCGGAGTCCATCTGAGTTAGATTTGAGTGAGTCATTTACAGAAGACTTAGAGGATACAGTAAGCATAAGAAGCAAGTCTGTCCCTGGGACTTTAGACAAGGTAAGTTGGATGAAGCTATAATGATGAGGAGGAAATAAGGGCATAATCTTGCTGCAAGTGGTTACATTTTTAGGTGATGATGAGTTGAGAGTAAAGAGAGGATATACAATCATCTCTTCTTGTTAGTCTTCACAGTCAACGCATAAACACAGAAATAATGACTTAGAAAACGTAATGGTTAATCATGTTAATGAGTGAAGGTTATGTCTAAGAAAACACATGTTGGGGATTTCGGTTTCCTGCTAAAGGCTTATCACTTAATCTAAACCTGGGAAATAAGGGATCCTAGCATTTTCCTAAGCCAAATATTATTAGGCATATCTGATTACATATTTATATGAACATTGCTATATCTCAAGTTACCACTAATAAATTCACTTCTAAACTGAGACAAAATTATGTGAAAATTAATGCTTCAGTGAACTCATTTCTAGAATGAGAAGGTTAAATTAGATTATTGTAAAGGTTATTTCCCAGTCTAATATTCTGATATTCAGATTTCTGTAATTGCTATAATAAAATTTGGACTCCTTGGAAGAAATAGAACACAAATGTAAAATGGTATTGATAGTTTTTCCAAAGCAAACTAGGAAACTTAGAGTTATAAAATGAAATAACATTTTCTATAGTACAAAAAAACTGGGAAAATACTTTAAAATCTACCTCCAAAAGAGAGGTAGGCAGTGAGATCAAATTATTTCAAAGCTTACTCATGTTCAACTTTTAAAGAATTACTAATTCCAACATTATTAAACTATTAAACTATTCCTGATCTTAGAAAACCATTAAAATCTTTACATTCATTGTATGCAGCCAGTATAATCTTGACACTGAGACTTGATTTTTAAAATAGTTTAAAAAATAAAACTACAAGTCAAACTAGTTTATGAATATATATGCAAAACTTTAAATATAATATCAGTTAAAATCTAGCAGTGAATAAAAATGGCAATAAGCAAGTTTTATGCTAAGTATGGGTGGAAGAATGAATCTATATAAGAATATTTGTCAGCATAATTTATATCAATATACTAAAGAAGAAAATGACATGATTCTGTATGTAGAAGTTATTAAAGGATCTACAAAAATATGACTAGAACTGATAAGTTCAGCAAGGTTGCAGGAAATAAGATCAATACGCAAAAATCAACTGTATTTATATATACTAGCAATAATCAATTGGAAAATGAAATTAAGAATATTAGTCCATTCATAATAGCATGAAAAATAATTTTCAAAAGTAAGGAATAAATTCATTTTTAAAAGTTAAGACATGTGCATTGAAATTAACAAAAATATTTCTGAATTAAAGGAGACCTAAATTAATAGAAATATATTCTGTGTTAATGGATTAGAAGATTCAATATTTTTAAGATGGAAATTCTCTCCAAATAAATGTATAGACAATGCAAACCCATCAAAATACAAGCAGGATAATTTCGTAGAAATAGAAAATATGATTCTACCATTTATATGAAAATATATGGGACCCAGAATAACAAAATCAATTTTAAAGAGCAAAGTTGGAAGATTTATACTACTAGATTTAAAAACTTACCCTACAGTTATAGTTATCACTACAACACAGTATTGACATAAGCATTGGCAATCAATGCAATAGAATTGAGATTTCAGGAAAATAAAAAAACTTTATGGCCAATTGATTTTTGGTACTTCAGTGGGGGAAAGAATAACCTTTTCAACAAATCATACTGGGACAACTGGATATCCAAATACCACAAAACATAAAAGAACTTTGACTCTTAACATATACCATACAGAAAACAAGTAACGCAAAATGGATTATAAACCTAAATGTAAGAAGTGAAACCATAAAATTCTAAAAGAAAACCTAGGAGAAAATCTCCATGACTTTGAGTTAGGCAAATAATTCTTAGATATGGCACCAAAAGCATGACGCATGTGTTCAAGAAAAAAAACACCGATAAATTGAATTTCATCAAAATGAAAAATGTTTACACTTCAAAAGACAACATTACAGACATGAAAAGTCAAGCCACAGACTGGAAAAATATTTTCAAATTATATATTTGTTAAAGGACTTGTATCTAGAATATATTTCTTAAAACCCTTACATTCAATATCAAAAAGACAAATAATCGTATTAGATAATGGGGAAAAGATTTGGATAGACATTTAATCAAAGAAGATTTTCAAATGCCTAATAGCCACCTTAAAATATGTTCAGCATCATTAGTTATCAGAGAAACAAAAATTAAAATCACAATGAGACACCACTTCACATCCCCTTGAATGAATGTGATTAAAAAGACATAATAATAAGTGTCAATGAGGATGCAGAGAAATTGGAACCCCCCTACATTGCTAGTGGTAATGCAAAATGCTACCTACAGCCATTCCGTAAAAGAGTTTCACAATTTCTTTAAAAATTAAACATAAATTTACTGCATGACATAGCAATTCTGATCCTAGGTATCTACCCAAGAGAAATGAAAACGTATATCCACATAAAGACTTACACACGAGTGGTTATAGCAGCATTATTCGTAATAAACAAAAAGTGAAAATAATACTCTCTGGTGAATAGATGGAATACAATGATATATTATTCAGAAGTAAAAAGAAATGAAGTACTGACACATACTACAACATGGATGAACCTTGAAAATATTATGCTAAGTGAAAGAAACCAGGTGAAACTATATATCATATAATTATATTTATATGAAATGCCAATGAAAGGAAAATTGATGGGGAGATTAAAGCAGTGTAATGGTTGCCAGGGACTGAAGAAGTAGGGACTGACTGCAAACAGGCATGGGGTAACTTATTGGATTGATGATATACTAAAACTGGATTATGTTGATGTTTGCTCAACTCTAAATTTGCTAAAAATCACTGAATTGCATACATACAATAGGTAAATTTTATGGTATGCAAGTCATACCTCAATAAAGTTGTGGGAGAAAAAATAAGCAGCAATGAAAATAGCTGGAAAAGTGATCATTGTTAAAACTGGGTAATCAGTTATAAGGGTTCATTATGCTATTCTTTCTATTTTGTGAATGTTTGAATTTTTTAATATCCACTTTTAAAAAGAAAGTAAAGAAATACGAAGACTGGTACTTTATGTGATGATCACTGGGTAATTGTACACCGAGAAAGAGCAAAACATAAAAATATAGAAAAGGGACAATTTGAAAAAATAATAGGGATACATGTTTTCAGAATTAAAGAGCTTATTAGTTTTGGCAGCTTTTTGCTGAAGTTTTTAGGGTGTTCTATATATAAAATCATGTCATCTGCAAACAGACAATTTTATTTCTTCCTTTCCAATTTAGATACCTTTTATTTCTTTTCCCTGTTTGATTGCTCTGGCTAGGACATCCAGCACTATATGGAGTAGAGTTGGTAAGAGTGGGCATACTGTATTTTTTCTGATCTTAGAGGAAATGTTTTTAGCTTTTCAATGTTGGGTATAATGCTAGCTAAGAGCTTGCCCTGTATGATTTTATGTTGAGGTAAATTTTTTCTTTATCTAATTTGTTGAGTTTTTAGTACGAAGAGATGTTGATTTTGTCAAGTGCCTTTTCTGCATCTATTGAGATGATCATATGGGTTTTATCCTTCATTCTGTTAATGCAGTTTATCACAGCTATTGATTTGTTTATGTTAAACCATCATTGCATTCCAAGGATAAATCCCACTTAGTCAGGTTGAATGAGCTTTTTCATGTGCTGCTGAATTCAGTTTGCTAGCATTTTGATGAGGATTTTTGCATCTATGGTTTATCAGAGATATTGGCCTGCAATTGTCCCTTTTTTTTTTTTTTTTTTTTTTTTGTAGTATCCTTGTCTGACTTTGCTATCAGGGTAGTGCTGGTTTCATAAAATTAGTTTGGAAGTGTTCCCTCGTCTTCAATTTTTGGAAGAATTTGACAGGAATTGGCGTTAATTCTTCCTCAAATGTTCAGAAGAATTCATCCATGAAGCCAGCCCTTTCTTACAAGATGCTATTCTACAAGATATTCCAACTCATCTTGTGGGATCATCAGTGAGAAAAAGGCAACTACAATAAGTTCTCATTTAACGTCATCAACAGATTCTTGGAAACTGCCACTTTCAGCAAAATGATGTATAACAAAACCTTTTTTTCCCTCATCAATGTTTTAATGAAATGACATTATTTGAGGACCTGCTGCACATCCTTTCACTTAAAGTTGCAGTTTTCAAGAACCTATGGATGCCGTTAAGTGACAACTTACCATAAACCAATATAAAAATAAGCAATTTTTGAACAAGTATTTCACAAAACAGGAAATCCAGTTGGCCAACTATCACAAAATAGTATTCAACTTAGTAAAAGAGAAATGGAAATTAAAATCATGAAGACCGTAAACATCTACTGGATTGGCAAAAATGAAAAAAAATCTAACAATACCGTCTGTTTCCAGGCAAGGATGTGGAGCAACAGGAACTCTCATACACTACTGATTAGACTGTAAATTGGTATAACTACTTCTGAAAATTTGACATTATCTTTAAAATGATGTAGATAAGCATGTGGAGACATGCTCACCCCATGACTTGACAATTCCTCTCACTGGTATATATTCAAGTGTGTGAATATATATACTGTGTTGTGTGTATATGCGCCAGGGTACATATTCACAGAATATACATATCAGTGTTGGTCACAATAGAAAAAAATCTGAAAATAACCCAAATATTCAGCAACAAGAGAATGGATAAAGTTTTGGATATCATACAATGGAATATTAAATGATAATAAAAATGAATGGGCTGCAAAAATATGCCACAATTTTGATGAATTTTAAGGCAATATGAAGCAAAAAAAGCAAAATGCAAAGGAATGTGTAGCATTTAATTGCATTTACACGAAGTTCAAAAACAGGCAAAATGAAATCTTTTTGTTTCAGAGTATATGCTTATGCAGTTAAACTATAAATAAAAGCAAGGATGTGGTTAACCGTAAGAGTTAAAATACTAATTATTCCCTGGGGGAGAAGGGGCTTGTGATATGGACAGGATATACAGGGAGCTTCTGCCTGATCATTTGATGTTGTTATTATACTATACATCTATGTTTTATGTACTTTTTAATATGCTGCATCGTATAATAAACACTTTTTTAAAGCAAGCCCAGAAGTGTACATCATAATCCTGATTTGTAAAACAATAGTTAAAAAAATTCCCATGAATGTATACTTAGATTTGTGTGTGTATGTTTTTATATGATTTTTCACATAAACAAGGAGAAAGATATGGAATGTAATATGTGCAGCAGGATGCCAAATATTAATTTCGCCTGGTGTGAAAGGAGGGGAAGGAGGAGAGGAGAAGCAAAAAAAAAAAAAAAGTGCCCATAATAAAAAGCAGTATGCATGATATAATCTATCTATGTGTATATGTGTATGTGTGTATATATATATGTGATCATATAATCAAAAATATTGGAATTGATCATTAATATGTTAATGAGAGACCTAAGTTTTTAATTTCCATTTATTTATATTGCTTAAAATGTTTTTACTAGGAAAATATATCGCTTAAATAAGTAGGCAAAAAAAAAAAAGCCACTTTATCATGAAGGAGAAAAAGAAACGGGAAAGGAAAAGTAGAATCCGGGATTTGAGATGAGAGTCCAGTATCTAGTTCACCTAGTGGAAAGATTTTTGAGATATACTTTACCACCTTGGCAGAGCGTGTGTGTGTGTGTGTGTGCACGTGCACACAATTTTTTTTTTTTTTAATTTTAAAGTCACGTAAGTACATTGCCCAACATGAATCACCTTACAGGTAGGAATTGAACCCAGGTCTGTATGATTCCAAATTTCATGTTCTTTCCATAAAGTAAGCACCATTAGAAAGGAGACCCCACTCTCCACCCACTATCCCTGCCCGCTTCTCCGATGGTATAATTCAGATGGACTGGAGAGAAAAAGAGGAAAACCTAGGAACGGAGTGATTTCTAGATATTTTTATCTGATTCTCAAAGATTTATGAAAGAAAGTGGTTTTTCCAGTGAAAAGACATTCTAGAAAAACAAATAAACCAACCCACTGATTTTTCCCCTTCTTTTTTAGGACTCCTTGGAAGAGACTGAAGAAAGCATTGATGCCTTAGTGTCCTCGCAGTTATCTACAAACACGCACAGTCTGGCAAGTGGCCTATCAACTGTAAGCAGTTCACTAGGACATGCGGAAAGTTTCTTTTCTCTCTTTTTGATTTGCTGTGCATTTCCAAAGGAGATATAAATGTTCTTAGAACAATACGTGATAACGAGTTAAAAGTCATTGTAAGATCCTGCTTGCCCTTTGCCCACAGAGTACCTTTCAGTCTAATTTGGTCTCAGTTTTTTCTCAGGCTCCTGATTTCTTCCTTCTTCCACAGTCCTCACCCAAGTTTTAAAAATCTCCTCACTCCCTAGTTCAGGCTCAGTCAGCTCAAGCCTATAAATTATTTTTCAATTATCTGCTGACACATTTCCCTGACACCATTCTCTAAACTCCCCAACTGTCCTCCAGACTGCTGCCAGTCATTTTCCTAAAACACGTGCCCAATCAGGTCTGTCCGCTACTCAAAACCCGTCAATAGCTTCCCACCGCCCACAAAATAAAGTCCTTTCTTATGTTAGTGTTCAAGGCCTTTTCTGAGAGGAAGGCCCTGTGTCCTTGTATCTAACTGTGTGTCTGTAAGTCTTTTTCTTGGCTCCTCTGATTTCTGTTGCTCTGATGCTTTTTTTCTTTTGATCTTTGGATGACTTCTCTAAAGAATTCTCAAGCAGGTTCTGACAGGAAGTGGACCTACCTAAATGTGCCTGATGCTGACTCAGACACTGTGAGTTTTCAACCTTTCCTTTTTGTTCTTTCCAACCATACTTCACAAATTTCATGGCCTGGGAACTATGATTAAGCAATTTGTCCCATATTTATCTTTTTCGGACTTATATACAATTAACCAGAGGTTATCTTTTAAAAGATTGATGAAGTTATCAGAACCCAAGTATTCCGATTCATTAAACATTGGAATCCGAACACCACTCAAAAGACACATGGTCTAAAATGATGTATTGTCAACAAAACCTTTGAAGTAAGCATCTATTTTAAATCACAGCCTTAGCTTGGTTAAGAGCATATGGTTTAGTTAGTAGTAAAATTGCCATAGCTGTCTTAATTTCTCACAAGCCTCCGTATTTGCGGGTTCCTAAATTTCCTTCTATCCATAGGGGCCCTCTGCTTACGGAGGATTTTCTTTGAAAATGTGGCTACAGAGATGTGGTATAGACACAAATCAGTGATACAGGGAGGTAATCAGGTATGGTGGGGCAGTCCTCAGACTAGAAACCTGGAGATCTTGCTTTATTTCTTGGCCTTACCAACAATTTTTGTGAGCCAGAATTTTCTCATTTGTAACACGAGGAGGTTGGGGCTTATTCTTGAAACCTTTGCTACTCAAATCTCCATGGACCAGCACATTGCATCACTTGGAACAGATACCCCAAAACTTTCTCAGTTCAAAAAGCCCCTAGTGTCTCAGTAATTCTTTCCTGGCACTCCTACACTAAAAGTAGCACCTGACTAGTCCATTTATTAAGTAGTTAGACCCAAACAATTTAATAAGCACTGCATCCTAACAACTAACTAGCCATTTGAAAAAAATGCTACAAGTAAATGGAAAGAAAAATAGTATTTTTATTTCATCCTTAAATAGCACCTATTACTTACCACTAATAGGATATATGTGCCTATTGAGCACTACACAGTTACCAAATCTTGGAATCTGATTGGACATCACTACTTTCATTTCCCATTTCATATTCATTTTTGTGCAATACTTGCTTTTTGTTGCAGCAACTGCCAAAAACTCAGCTTCAAACAACTAGGAGTTCATTGAAAAGAATAAAGCGTGGCTTAATGTTGACACTGTGAATTACTAGTTAGTAGCTTACATGGTGTCTGATAGGTGTTGTTGTGTTTCCCTTGAGAATTTAAAATCTTTCTGTGATTCCCCTGTGAGTTTGCTGTGGTGCTCTGTGGTACCTCGATACACAGTTTGGGAACTGCAGGCCTAGGAGTTTGTTAGAACAGTCAAATCTCAGACCTCACCCCAGACTGAAGAGAGAAGCATTTTCAGTTTAAAAAGGTATCTGGGTGATTTCTATGCAATTAAAGTTTGAAAAGCACTGCTCAAAGCCACCTGCTAAACATGAAAATTCTGTTGCTTTGTTTTAGGAATAAGAAAAACAGATTAGGTCACTCACTGACTTTCTTTAAGCTCTAATTTCCAAATAATTATGGAATTATTGGTCTGCTCTTGCCCGTGAAGAAGCTTAGAAGACATGTGACCACATCACCCACATCCTGTTCTTTGGTCAGTCTCTACTCCCAGAAATTGGTGGGATATAATGGCTTTTACCAAAAGCAAAGTACAAAAAAGAGGACAGTCTAAGGTCCCTGTGTACTTACTGTAGTCTTGACTTCCCAGTGGTTCACAGAAAAGTGGTTTTGAAACTATTGGGTCAGCCGTGAAATACCTCCAGGTGGTCTTTTGTGACAGTTACTAAGATACACAGTTTTCACTTCTAGTGCCAAAGCGTAATTTTATTACATTTACAGTAGTCACCTTTATCCACAGATGATACATTCCACCCACCCCAGTGGATGCCTGAAACCTCGCATAGTACCAAACCCTAGCCAAGAAGCACCAAGGTCACATCTTCACTTAAAGAAAGCACTTTTGGCTTCTCTTTGACGTATATAAATTACTACCATCATTACTCTTAACACTTTGGAGTCATTATTAAGTAAAATAAGAATGAGTTGAACACAAGCGCTGTGATAGCAGGACAGTCAATCTGATAACTGAGACAGCTAAGTGACTAATGGGCAAGTATCATCTACAGTGTGGCTCCAACTGGACAAAGAGAGGCTTCACATCCAGGGTGGTGGGATGCAGCAGTATGATGTGAGAGTTCATCATGCTACTTGTGAACCCTGAAAATCTGAGGCAGGTCTCAGTTAATTTAGAAAGTTTATTTTGCCAAGGTTGAGGACCAGCACCCCTGACACAGTCTCAGGAGGTCCTGACAACATGTGCCCAAGGTGCTCAGAGCACAGTTTGGTTTTATACATTTTAGGGAGACATAAGACATCAATCAACATATGTAAGATGAACACTGGTTGGGTCCGGAAGGGCGTGACAACTCCAAGTGGGGAGGGGGCTTCCAGGTCATACGTAGATAAGAGACAAATAGTTGCATTATTTTGCGTTTCTTATTAGCCTTTCCAAAGGAGGCACTTAGATATGCATTTATGTCAGTGAGCAGAGGGGTGACTTTGAATAGTATGGGAAGCAGGTTTGCTCTAAGCAGTTCCCAGCTTGACTTTTCCCTTTAGCTTTGTGATTTTGGGTGCCCAAGATATTTTCCTTTCACATATTCAAAACAGCATACAATTTAAAACTTATGAATTATTTGTTTCTGGAGTTTTCCATTTAATATTTTTGAACCGCAGTTGACCATGGGTAGCTGAAACTACGGAAAGTGAAACTGTGGGTAAGGGGGACTACTGTACATTAAAAGCTGTCTCATGTCATTAGTGTCTTGTCGAAAGCCTCATTCATTCTGGTAGATTTGGACTTTTTTAAAAAACTTTTTTCCTGATTGGTTGGTGTGTGATTTTATTGTGTAGTGGTATATTTTGTGGGCTGCTGCTTTATACAGATTTACAAAGCCATGGTCTCATAGTACTCGTGTAGCCACACAGCTAGCTACTCAGTGGAGGGAAATCGTGGAAGCTGTGGGTATGTGGTGTTCTTCTGGCATGCCCTTGTTAAAGCTGCAGTTATGGCTCCCCAGAGACTGATGGGATGCCCCCTGTAGGTGTCAAAGAAAGCAGTATGTGGCTCCTGGTAGCACAGAATATGAGATAAGCTATTCTTTGTCCCGGTCAATGTATTCTACACCTTGTAGTAGATTGAACTTGAGTCTACCAGTGAAAATGGAGAAAGCTGCAGGGATGGAAGAGAAGTGAGATTTGAAATGCCTCAATTACCCTGTATTCATTAGTAGAAGTGAGTAAGCAAAGGGTATTCTCTAACCCAAGAAGGAAATGCTTCCCCTCTAAGCAAGTTTTCTACCTTTTTTTCCTGACGGTACTAGCTCTGTTGTCTTTTCTCCAGCTGGGATTTTATACAATACCAGCCAAACAAGTGACTCTTGTTTTCTTTCCTCACCCTAGACTTCCGTGCTCATTAGAAAGAACAGGAACTATAATTGAATGAAGTCGGTTGATTCTGTGAAGAGATCATTAGAATGACACTAGATGCCTTTTTCCATCTTGTTTATTTCAGACCAGTCTTAACAGCATGATGAGTGTTTACAGTGAAACCGGAGACTATGGCAACGTGAAAGTCAGTGGTGAAATCCTTCTCCATATCAGCTACTGCTACAAAACTGGTGGGCTCTACATTTTGGTCAAGAATTGCAGAAATCTGGCCATAGGAGATGAAAAGAAACAGAGGACAGATGCGTAAGCACATAGCATGATCCTCAGACTATTTCAATCACTGCCTTTTTTGTCTGTATGTATGTTTCCTTTTCAAAAGAGTCTTAGCATTCTTCTTGATTCAGTCTTCTCAGAGAGTTGATTGTCACGTTCCTCCTATACCACACTTCTGGATATTCTCTGAAGCACATGTATGCTGGTTGTGTCCTTGATTAGCTGATTTTTAAAACATAATTCCGGATTGACATATTTGAAATTTACACAGAGGCAGCTCTTCGAAGTAGAATGCTGACATGTTGGCACACCCAGGATATACAAAAGCATCTTGTCAATTTTTGTTCTGGGAAATCCTCCAGAGAAAATTACCAAGCTGTTACCCAATTAAACAACTCAAAAAGGCAATTATGAGGCTCTCAGGATTCTAGAGATCAGCCTGGGAGGGCAGGTATGGACCATAGCACATTGGAGAGAAGCTAGATATAAAGGTGTGTCAGGGGTCCTCAAGACCACTGCCAGGTTCAGTGATTCACTAGGAGGACTCAGGACTCTGCATGCAGTTATAATCAGCAAAGAGGCACATGGGGCAAAGTCCAGGGGAGATCAGGCTCAAGCTTTGCAAGGGTCCTTTCCCAGTGGAGTCACATAGGATGCATTTAATTCCTCCGGCGATGAGTTCTGACAACACTTGTGAAGTGTTGTCTACCAAGGAAGCTTGTTAGAAATTCAACTGGTCACATACCAATTTCCAGTCTCTCAGAAGGAAAGAACCTGTTCAGCATAAGCCATTTTCTTTGTACAAACAATTTAGGAACAACGAGCCACTTTTATCCGTTCTGGGAATGGCGGGAATCCTCCTGAAATCCAAGTTGCCAGGTGCCACCCAAGGGCCATATTTGCAAGCAGGCATTTAGAAGAATGATAGTCTCAGGCCCACTATGTTAACCCTTTTCTGCACAGTAGATGACCTAGGTCCAATAAATAACTCAGTGAACCTGGTTCCAAATACCCTGAGATAGACAAATGAGTGGATTCTGACTACAGATTGGTCCACCTGCCTCCTCAACTAAATTTCAGAAGGCTACAGGACCCATGTAATTATTTTGACTAGCTTGGAAAGGGGTGTTCTAAAACTCAACAGGTATTCTGTAGAACTCTGGTAGCATCTTATACATTTCAACCTCGTACACATCTTGTACATTTCTGAGTTTGCTCTGGTACCCTGCTTCAAGAGGCTCTTGAGATAGCTCAAGCTAAAGTGTTGGGTAGAATTGCTATCACTACTTCAGGTTGTCGTTGTTTATTTTGTCTCTTTCACTATTTTCTTTCACTCACCCATTACCATTGACCCCACTTTCTGACATCAGAGGGCAAGACTAGGAATAGAGAAAGAAGCATCTAATCCCAGAAAAGTTTGTGAGACCGTTAACATTAATAATGTATTATATTTGTTGAGTAGTACAATACGGTAGCTCCCTGGATATGTCAACTAATTTAATCCACAGAAGGCCATCAGTTAGACACTGTTATTTTCCCAGTTTTACAGATGAAGAAACTGAGGCACAGAGTGGTTATTTAGTAAATTCTTGAGGTCACCAAAACCTCTGAGGCATGGAGTGACTCAAAACCAGGTGGCTTGACTCCAGAACCCACACTCTTTTATCATTATACTTTACCACTTCTCTCTTATGGAAGGCCCAGGGTTCTCATTTTAAGGTATCCTCTCATATAGACAAAATTCTCTTTGGTATTTCCTCTCATGCACACTGGCCCTTTGCCCCTTTTATTCACAATGAAGTCTTTGAACATTTCTTGCAAATAGATGTTTCACAATAATTACATTTATATTTTCTTACCTATAGTTATGTCAAGTCATACCTTCTTCCTGACAAGTCCCGGAACAACAAGCGTAAGACCAAAATCAGAACAGGCACCAATCCAGAATTCAATGAAACACTAAAGGTAAATAAATATGGTCTCATAGTAACTCATGTGATACTGTTCACAACTTCAGTGGTTTAAAAGTAACTACAGAGAATATTTTATTTGCATGTCAAGGCTTGTATATGTTTTAGAAAATTAGAATTTGAATAAATTAACATAATACCCTTGACTTTTCTAACATCTTTTGAGAAAACGAAAACACTCTTATTCTGTTTATGTCTCTGCTGCTACTGAATTTTAACCTTGAATAGAGATGATCCAGCCAAACTGCATCTGTGCTGATGCATCTTGCCAAAAAAATCGGTTTTACCCTTGGGCAAACAGTGCTTTTTCTGACTTCCTTAAAAGAAGTTTGTCACAGTTTTGACACTACTTAACAGTCATTTTGCACACATTCATTGTTCTGCTAATATAGCATAGATCTATACTGTTTGTTGTTAGGATTTCAGAATTTGACTAAATATAAGTATGTGGTTAATGAATAGTGGAAATGAAGAGCCAGATTTGAGAAATCTCAACAAAAGTGGCCTAGATAAAATATAGCCCAATCCAGCTCAATGATCCAGAAAATAGGAATCTCTTTCCAATGAGCTTTCACATAATTAACCCCTTCCCTTGCTATGGACCAATCTGGCCTGGTAAGAAACATCCAGGGAGAATGGAATGAAGAAATTATTGCCAATTCTATGGAAATTTATGGGCTTTTGCCCAAGAATGATGGAGGCAGAGTCCATTTTAGGAGGAAATTGGTAAAGACAGAAAGCCATGAGCCTGCATGTGTCAGTGGGAGCATGTGTGGAAGCAGGAGCTAATATTAAGACAAAACAAACTGACAAATGAATAAATACAGGCAGAGGGTATATTCAATGGCCATAACAGGATTGAAAAGATGAGCCCAAATACAGGGAGAGGGTAAATTTAGGAAGCAGGGAGCCAAGGTTAATTATGACAATAACAGCAAGAACGAGAATAGACACTAATCCAAGATCAGGAGTCAGTCAGTCTGAAGTGTGTCCCAGATGGTGGTTGCATAGAACAAGCAGAAGGTTGGAGGGTGTGTGAGCATGTGGCCCTGGATAGTGCTGTTACCAAAAAAAAATGCTAGCCCAGCAACATCTTCTTTCTGTTTAATATACATGTACACCTTTTCACCTCTACACTTAGGCTGGACTTTATAAAATTTGGTGTTTGCGAGTTTCTCATTGTCAATTCTTTTCTGGATTTGGGGATTCTCATTATGAATAAGATAAGAAAGAAGTTGGAGAATTTATATATTAAACCTTGAGTTTACAAAGTAGGTGTGAAAAAATAATTAAGGAAAATGAAAAACCAATAAAACTGGAAAGAGGATAAGCTTCATCACCTAACATTTTGTATACAGTATCTGGAGTTTACCTCTACCTCAAATACTACCTCAAATATCTTTCAATGCTAAGTCTGGCACAAAATGAGTTTATGGCATAGAACTTCAATTGTAGCAGAAACAAAGAAAAACAAAGAGTTTTCTTTGGGTTTGTTTTGTTCATGTTACTGATGTATATGATCTGAAAGATGTCGGAAGTAAATTTCAACCTGTCCTGGAATTGGATAGAGCCCTCCTTGTGGAATGTAATGTTGCAAATCTCATTTGCAGTACACCATCAGCCATACCCAGCTGGAAACAAGAACTCTGCAGCTGTCAGTCTGGCACTATGATCGATTTGGACGTAATAGCTTCCTCGGGGAAGTAGAGATTCCTTTTGACTCATGGAACTTTGAAAATCCAACTGATGAGTGGTTTGTGCTTCAACCCAAGGTAGGAAATGCTCTTAGATTAGTCAGTTATGCAATGATACAAGTTATGAGCGAAATTGATGTCATAGGCCTAAAGAACTCGAAGACTTTCAAATTTCAAGTGATAATCTGCAAAAAGTTTGTACAGGAAATTTTGGAATAATATTATAAAAATGTTGTAAATCCACCGCTTTGGAAATTCTTTGTCAATATAGGTCTTTTGTATAATGAAAGCCACATAACCATATATATTTTTTGCTAAAAATGTGTATTATTTGACAGTCTTATTGGATAACTGAAAGCAATACATTATATGATCTTATTAGAGAGTCTTCATTTTCACATAGGCAAAACCAAATTCATACAGCATAAACAATCTCAAAACATTACCTTTATTTCTCATTCTCCACATTCAGACCATAAGCAAGAGTGATCTTGCCTTTGCTTATACGAGGGAATAACCAGTAGCTAAAGTATCTAATTTTCTTATGTTCCTACTTTTGGGATTCATGACCCAGGCCTTGAGTTACATTCAGAAAAAAATCTTAGAGCTGATAATTAAATGCCAACACTGTATAGCATGTTCTAATCTAGACCAGCAGTGCCTTGGATTCACTTTAAGTGACTGGAGTCTCTATGCATTTACAGTACTTTTTAAGCCAAAATAGAGGTGAGTAAAGGTCACATTTATGCAGTCAAAGATTATTCTTTATATACAGAAAGGCAAAAACACATTATGATGAAGACAGTGGACTCAAATCAAACTTACTTGGTTCAGTCCTGGCTTCATGACTGCCCATGTGACCTTGGGCAAATTATTTAACTTTTTATGCCTTAGTGTCCTCAGTTGTAATATAATCATTGGATGTAGCTTATAGGTCTGTGGTGAGGCTTGAATAAACATTGTATACATGGCTGTCAGCATTTTATCTGGAACATTGTAAGCTCTCAGTAAATGTTAAATGGTATACATGTGACTTGGGAGTCCTTGTATTGCAACTGACAGAAACTCCAGCTCATACTGCTCAAAATATAAAGGGAGATTATTGGCCAGCAGTGATTAGGCATGGCTTGATCCAGATGTTCAAATCTTATCAAAGTCTTGGAATTTCTTGGTCTCTCTTTTTAACTTCATTGGCTTCATTTTCAGGTTCCATGCAGTATTGTCCTCCCTGACTAGCTCCAAACATGCCTCTCTAATGACTACAGTGGCTGAAAGCCTTTCATCTTTGCATCACACTGTTCAGAAGAGGAGAGAGTTCCTCCTCCTCCAACAGCCAAATCAGCGCATTGGGTCTGGTTCTCCTAATTATAATTCTATCATTTGCCTATTCTAAGCTAATGACTGTGGCCAGGGAGGTAAGATGCATTAGGTGGCTTAAGACAATCAGAACATACCCTGGTTCTGAAGGAGGGAACAATAGCATCCTTCCAGTCAATTTCCTGGAAATAGTTGAAGGACTTTGCTGGAAGGATATGTAAGCTCTCCTAGACCTCTCCCAGGCATCCTTTGTGCTTAGAAATCAGCATTTTCCTCAGTAATCACTTCCACATTGTCGATGAGTGATTCACAGCCTATCATAAGAGGGAAGCATCTCTGAGTCTTTCTGAGCCTACTGAAGGTAGAAAAGTTCGGATCGCATTCACTGTGGAATACCATGGGCCCTCTGCCAGATCCTCTTAGGTTCCTAACCATGTCTGTTAGGAGGTTCGCCGCAACAGCCTCCACCTGAGACTCTCTTTAGAAGACTTCCCTCGGGCTACTGTAGCTTTTTGCCTACATAGGCAGAAAGCCAGAAGTCCTGGGAATTTTTGTACCCGCTGCCACGTGACAACCCTTCATCAATAACTGATAGGTGGGGGAGTATGAAGGCCCACTTCCCTTACTGAAAGTGGGGAAAAGCTCCAAAGTGTTACGTATAGTACCACCTCAGGTAGAAGCTACCTTCCATGGAATTTTGCCCAAGGTTAGACTCGTCTCTGTTCTGCTTCCCATATCGCTTTACTGGTCTCTCTAAGAGAACTTCCTTAATAATTCACTTGCATACAAATCTTCACCTTCGAGTCTATTTCTGAAGAACCCAACAGAAGTTAGTATCTCTAACCTCTGTCATCTTCCTCTGTCCAGCTTCCTCTGTTCTATATAGAAGAAAAGCTGAAGACTCAGACGTGCTTAGATACCATGTCTTCTGAAAACGCGGAGGACAGGCACAAAGGCATGCTCTATAGGCTGCCTTGTGCTTCATTAGTGGCTCATCCTCAGGCTGAGCTGGGCTCTGTGTGGTTGGTTATCAGCCAGCTATGTAAAGTGGCACTTCAGTTTCAGTTTCCTGCCTTGGTCATTTCAATGCAATTGTCACTCCAGTAGCTGCAGATGTAGTATGAGCAGCCTTGGAGACTTGACGTTTCTTGTAGATTATGCAGTTGAGAAGGTGAAACGTGAGTTACAGGGACTGATTTCCCTAGTAATAGGGGATCAGAATTAATAATCCTTAATAATTCAGAAATACTGACATACTTCTGCACTAGGAGTGCCAGAAAGGCATGGTGCCTTATTGCTTATTGACTCTGTTAGTGAAGGTTCCTCAATATCTATCTTTGCATGGGTTAGGTCCTACAGTGCTAAGCCAGTGAGGAGGCTGGTGCAGAGAAAGGACTCAAGATGCCAAACATACTGTAGTTTCACAGTATAACTTCCATTTTACTTCATGGTGTGGGATTATTTATTAGCTGTAAATCATTATCCTTCTGAAAGGCATGTCAGGTAGTTAGACAAGAAGGTTTTATCGGTATGAATTGCCTTTCAAGCCTTCCCAAGGTGTGCTATGGGACATCTGAAAATCAACAGCAAGCTTAAGTGGTTTCCCAAGGAAACATTCTCTTATTCTGCCTTCAGGCAGAGAGTAAATGTATGTTCCTTAGGAATTAGACCTAGATTAAAGGCTCTCTCTCTTTTTTGGCAGACTTTTGTCTGTAATTCCTTACTCCATGTTACACGTGTAAATGCACTGGGAGTCTCTTCCTTGCTCCGACGGAAAGTGGACCTCTCTTTTTTTCAGAAAGCAGAAGGTAGTGGGTGTCATCTGCTTATTTCACATCCCTGCTCAGATAGTCTCAGTGGTTCCCTGCTGCTTTTGGATATGGCTTGAATAAATACCCTCACCCTGGCACTCAGTGTTCTGTTGAATGGCCCAGCCTACTGTAGCAGCAAAAGATGTTAGTTCTCTACACATCCCCATTTTCTTGCAAACAGGGCTCCCCATTGCTTTCACTCCCACCAGCCAACCCCTGCCAATTATTGTAGGAGGGGAGCCCTCGGGCTGCTAGAGAGGGCTTGGTTTGCAGGCCAGAAAAGCCAACATAGCCTGGGTATTTAAGTCTCCTGGGGGTGAGCAGATTCTTGATCAATGACTGGTGGATTAAGGAGCATCAATACTCCCACGTTCTTGCCTCTGATTAGAACAGCTCTGAAGCGTGATCTGTCACATCTCCAGAGTACCCCTATGGGACTTAACAAAAGTTACTCTCCATGGAACTTTGCCTGAAATCACATCCTTAAACCTCCTTCACTTTCAGTCCACCTTCCCCAGTACCCTTCCTAGTAAAATACTATAACTTAAATTAGTGCCTTAGCATCTTCTGGGAAACCCCGAGTTGACACCTTATTTCCATCCTCCTTGCTACTACCTCCCTGTACACACTCCCCTGATCACATTTGACTTTCTGTCAGTCCCTAAACATATTCTACACAGCCCCCATCATATTTTGCTCTTACTGCTTTCTCAACGTGGACTAACCTTCCCAATCCATCTTCATCTGTCATCATGTCTCCCATTCTTTAAGGACCAAGCAAGAGCCACCTGTTTTTCCCAATCCGGATTAATCTCTCTCTTCCCATAATAGTTTCTTTTTACTTGTGTTGGAATAACTGTCACCATTGAACTTTCTGTATAGTCGAAACATCTTACATTGAACTTTCTGTATAGTAGAAACCCTCTTCCCCTAGAAATTACCACCAATAGTAGGTCAGTTAATAGACAACATCACAGAAATCACCCACATACAAACACACACACTCAATGCATTTCTTTTATTTTTAATTATTTTGAACTAACACATAAAAATTGTATATAGTTATCATGTAAAATGTGGTTTTTAAATATGCATATATTACGGAATGGCTACATCAATCTAGTTAACATATACATTACTTCACATAGCATACTTTTTTATGGTCAGAACACATAAAATTTGCTTTCTTAGCAATTTTCAAGAATACAAAGCATTGTTATTATTAATAACTATGGTCACCATGTTGTAAAAGAGATTCTTCAAATTTATTCCTCCTATCTAGCTGACATTTTATTTTGTTTGGCCAACATCTCCCCCAGTTCTGCCCACCCCCAGCCCCTGATAACCACCACTCTACTCTCTGCTTCTATTAATTCAACTATTTTAGATTCCACTATTTTAGATTTACATCTATTTTAGATATAAGTGAGATCATGCAGTGTTCATCTTTCTGTGCCTGGCTTGTTTTAATTAACATAATGTCCTCCAGATTTATCCACGTTGTTGCAAATGCACATGACAAGATTTTATTTTTTAAGGCTGAATAGTATTTCATTGTGTATATATACCATATTTTCTTTATCACTTCATCCATTGATAGACAATTAGGTTGTTTCTATATGTTGGCTATTGTGAATCATGCTGCAATGAGCATGGAAGTGCAGAGATCTCTTTAAGACACTTATTTCATTTTATTTGGCTATATACCCTGTAGTGGGATTGCTAGATCATATATACGGTGGTTCTATGACACTCACTGTATTTAGTCCTTTTGATAGTAGCCATTCTAACAGGTATAAGATAATAGCTCATTGCGATTTTAATTTGCATTTCCCTGGTGATTAGTGATGCTGAGCATTTTGTCATACACTTGTTGGCAATTTGTATGTCTTCTTTTGAGAGATGTCTATTAAGATCTTTTGCCCGTTATTTAATTGGATTATTTGTTTTCTTACTATTGAATTGCTTGAGTTCTTTATGTATTTTGGATATTAAATTATTTAACTTAAACTATATCAGATGTATGATTTGCAACTATTTTCTCTCATTCTGCAGATTGTCTATTCACTCTGTCGATTGTTTTCTTTGCTCTGCAGAAGTTCAGTTTGAGGCAGTCCTATTTGCCTATTTTTGCTTTTGTTTCTTGTGCTTTTAGGGTCATATAAAAAAAATTTCCCAGACCTATGTTATGGAGCTTTTCCCCTATGTTTTTCCTAGTGGTTTTACAGTTTCAGGTCTCATGCTTAAGTCTTTAATCCACTTTGAGTTGATTTTTGTATATGGTGTGAGATAAGGGTCCAATTTCAATCTTCTGCATGTGGATGTTCAGTTGTCCCAACACTGTTTACTAAAGAGACTGTCCTTTCCCCATTGTGTATTTTTGGCACTTTTGTTGATAATCAATTGACCATAAATTTATTTCTGGACTCTCTATTCTGTTCCATTGGTGTTATGTATCTGTTCTTATGCCAGTACCATGCTGTTTTGATTACTATAGCTTCCCAATGCATTTCTTAAACATTTATTTTTAACTTAAACCAAATAAATGTACATTCATTCGCAAGTCTTCTAATACAGAGACAATTAATTTTGTTTGAATTTCATTCAGTAAGTAAAATTCTGCCATATATTCCTTGCATAAATTCTCCTCCTAATGCATCATCATCAGCAGATTCAAATTTGAGTTTTTTTCTCGAATGAAACAAGAACATAAGAATACTTTCAAAGTAAACTAAATGCAAATTCTTCTCAAAAATTTATGATTTTTTTCTAACCTTTCATAGATTCAAGCCCACATATAATCCAACAGCAACTTTGTTTTCAAATCTTTAGTTCTTCTAAAGTATTCAACGGAATTGTTATAGTAGCAGCTGTTTTTTGCACTCATCAATTTATGTGACATTAAACTATATAATTACAATCACAAATATGCCTGGCCTAAAGAGCTTGGGGGACTAACTAACGCAGCTGACTCTCAGTGTGCATACAATTCAACTGATGGGAGCAGATGCATGTTCTTTGCAGGAAGGATTCTGCTATTCACTAGGGATGAAGAACACTAATTAAACCGATGAGTCGGTTAACTAAGTGTGAATTAATAGATCCTGCTACTGCAAATATGTCTACTACATAGACTGAAAACTCATTGAAAGCAGGGTCTGTCTTATGTGTCCCCACAGCACTTAGCAAAGTGCCTTATAAAAATGTAAGCATTCCATATATGTTGGTAGAGTTGAATTGAATATGATTGGATTCTGCTAACTTTTTCTAAGTAATAGTTGGTTGGATAATGACAATGGTGTTATGCCAGGAGAGGGTGTTGCTTAGGAATTTCCTGGCAAAGTATAAGTATCAAAAATACCCTAAGACATTAGACATGTGCAGACTGCAATATGACTCTCCACTTTAATTTTTTGTATGTGATTATAATGCTACAAGCTTCATCATTATTGTGTTCTCCTTTCATAAGACTTGAGGTCTATATTTATACGGGGTCAACAGTATATTTTAAGCTAAAAACCAATGGAATGTTGGTAAATCCCAATAATGCATGTTTTTGATCTCTAGTAGCACACTGTATATTAGTATGTGATTCCTACACATATCACTTTTTCCTACCCGAAGATCTCACTCAAAAAGCCAACACAGCCTGCTCTGGTTAACTATTGCTGTATACCGAACTACCTTAAACCTTCGTGGCTTACAGCAAGAATTTATTCTCTCTCATGATTCTGTGGGTTAACTAGGCTCATCTAGGTAGTTCTCACTTAGGGTTTATCGTGCCACTGCAGCCAGATGGTTGACTGAGGCTGATGTCATCGAAAATCTCAACTGCATTGATTGTTCGAATTGACTCACTTCCATGTCTTACACATGATGTTGACTGCTGGCTGGAAACTCAGCTAGGCCTGCCAGCTGGAGCACCTACGTGCGGCTTGTCTCTGTGGCTTGGGCTCTCTTAGTATGGATTCCCAGAGGAAGCATTCAGAAATATCCATTCCAAGAAAGAAAGTAGAAGCTGTCGATCTTAAGACCTGGACCCCAAAACTGGCACATTGTCACTTCTGCCATATTCTATAATACTAGTCAAAGCAATCACAGAGCCCACTCAGACCCAAGGAGAGGTCACAAATACCCCATCTCTCATTGATGACAGTACCAAAAAAGTGGTAACCATCTTTAATCTGTCATAACATCCATTATTATTTTCTACTTATGATACTCACCTAAACTAAAATTTACTGAGATTGTCAAAACAAAAAGAAGAGTCCAGTTACAAGGAACTAGATCTAAAATAATCAGATTAAATATTAGATGGATAGTCTATTTTACCATATATTCTCATTTTTGCCCCCGGTAAGAAGGTTGAATAAAATATTTCAAGCATTTTTCCCACCCTTACTAGTAAGTTTTACTATCACCAGCAGGAAAGAAAAGGGAAAGTCAGGCAAGGATTCCTTTTCTTTTTAATAGTCTCAGTATGTTTAATTTTTTTTTACTATTTATTTGCTTATTTATGCCAAGTCTTGAACAGTCTCTGGCTTAGCTATGAGTGGGCTAGGTTTCTGAACTCTCATTCTGCCCTCTCTGAGAGAGCAGTTCTCTGCTCTTGACTCAGAAGTCAGATCTCTAAAGGAAAACCTTAACAAAATTTCCTTTCCTGCTCTACCTGTGAAAGAACTCAAAGTTCAGTTGACTCAGTGGCAAGTGGGAGACCTATAGAACAGAGGTTCTGGGTGCATGTGCACATTGATTTTCTTTAATTTGAACTTTATATTTTGAGATGATTGTAAATCTACATGCAGTTATAAGAAATACTACAGAGAGATCCCATGTACTTATTACTTGATTTTCCCCAATGGTAACCTATAGCAAAGCTGTACTATAATATCAAACCAGGTTTTGCTTAATTTTTTAAAGGCAGGGCCTCACTCTGGCATCCAGGCTGGAGTACAGTGTCAAAATCATAGCTCATTATAATCTCAAATTTCTGGGCTCAAGCTATCCTCCCACCTCAGCCTCCCAAGTAGCTGGGACTACGGTGCATGCCACCATGCCCAGCTACTTGGGGTCTCACTGTGTTGCCCAGGCTGGTCTCAAACTCCTGGGCTCAAGCGATCCTCCCACCTACACCTCCCAAAGTGCTGGGATTACAGGCATGAGCCACTACACCCAGCCACAACCAAGATATTGACATTGATATGATCCACCAATTTTATTCAGAATTCCCAGTTTTGTACTCATTTGTGTGTATGTGTGTGTGCACGTGTGTGTGTATATTTAGTTCTATGCAATTTTATCACCTTTATAGGTTTGTGTATCTACTACCACAGTCAAGGTACAGTTCTAATACCACATGTGTCCCTCAGGTTGACCTTTTATAACCACATCTAACTCCCTCCCACTACTCACATCCCTAACTTCTAGCAACCACTAATCTGTTCTCCATCTCTATAATTTTGTCATTTCAAGAATGTTACTTACATAAATGAAATCATAAAGTATATGTCATTTTAAGACTGGCTTTTTTTCACTCAGTAGAATTCTCTACAGATTCAACTTGTTGCATTTATCAATAGTGTATTCCATTTTTATTAATGAATAGTATTCCACGGCATGGATGTACCACAGTTTGTTTGACCATTCACCTGTTGAAGGAAATCTATATGATTTCCAGTTTTTTACTATTACAAATAAAGCTGATACAAATATTAGTATACAAGTTTTGTGTGGATATAATTTTTTCATTTCTCCGGGATAAATGACCAAGAGTGCAATTTCTGGTTAGATGGTAGTTGCGTGTTTAGTCTTACGAGCAGCTGCCAAACTGTTTTCCAGAATGACTCCACCATTTTACATTCCCACCAACAATGTTTGAGTGAACCACTTTCTCCATGTTGAATTTTGATTATATGAATTACCAATATTGCTTTTAACAGTTGAAGACTGGCAGCCCCATGTGAATCAAGCATTATTGCCTACTTTTCCCTTCTTGATCACTTGGGAAAGCCTTAAAAGACATCAAAGATGACACGGAGAAGTAATTTCTGGAGGTACTTTCAGTGGCATTTTTATTCCTGCTTCTTCACATCCCAAACTATATATGTAAACTCAGTGATAGGTCCGGTCATCAATGCATCACAGGTGCTCAATATCTATTGACTGGCCAAATATAAGTTATATGTCTTCTTTCAAATTCCTTTTACTTAAATGTTAAAGGTTATATGTAAATGTCTTCATAGAGTTTTCCAGCCTTTCTTTTCTCTTACCTAAGGCATCTCTTAAACCAATGAGAGCCAACAGAGTTGAAATGGGAATGGATTGTCACATTTATGCCACCAAGTAAATACTGCACATTCAAATGTGGACTACAATACTAAGCAAATCATTCATACTCTTTCAATTTACTTGTTTCTCCTTGGCCAGGTGGAGTTTGCTCCTGATATTGGCCTTCAATACAAAGGAGAGCTGACAGTTGTTTTACGTTACATTCCCCCGGAAGAGAATCTGATGCTTCCACCAGAACAACTCCAAGGTAGAGTAAAAATCAGTGACTTTGATCAATGACATTCTGTTTCTAGAAGTGTGGTAGTAGGAATCAGGGATTGGTTGCATTCTATGTCTTTCATATTACACAAACAAAACATAAAGGATTAGGTGTCACTGTCTTTTGGGGAAAGTTGATATGTGTATACCGTATATGGAAGAACGCAGGATTCTTACAAGGAAAGGACAAAATTCATACTTAGAGATCAGCCTTGGTGGTCAGATTTGTTTTCTGTTAGTCCCAAAGATATAGGATCTTCCCCCAGGGCTGGGGGAAGGCAGGCTGCTGGGAGGCAAGCATAGGAAACTGCTCCATGGATTTATGACATTCACAACTATTCAGGGAGTCTTGATGAAGAAGTTGTTCTAGAACACAGGATTTAAAGGAATAAATCAGATGGAGTCAATTTAGAAATCTCTCTTCCCCTTTGTATTAAGCTGTTATTGCATTGCTATAAGAAATACTCAAGATTAGGTAATGTATAAATAAAAGAGGTTTAATTTGCTCATGGTTCTGCAGACTATGTAGGAAGCATAAAACAGGCATATGCATCTGAGGAAGCCTCAGGAAGCTTACAATTATGGCAGAAGGTGAAGGTAGAGCAGGGGTCTCACATGACAGGAGCAGGAACAAGAGAAAGAGAGAAGGTGCCACATACTTTTAAACAACCAGATCTCACAGGAATTCACTCAGTATCGTGAGGACAGCACCAAGGGGACGGTGCAAAACCACTCATGAGAAATACACTCCATGATCCAATCACCTCCCACCAGGCCCCACCTCCGATAGTGGGGATTACATTTCAACATGAGATTTGGGTGAGGATACACATCCAAACTATCTTGCCCTTCTTTTACCATCAACTCTTGCAGGCAGCCTCCTCTGTCCTCCCATTCACTATAACTCTTTTCAGTGTGAGCTTGTGCAAGTAACTCACTGTCTCCTGACCTCAATTTCCTCACTTCAAAGGGTTGTTGTGAAGAATAAATAGGTTCATATATGTAAAGTGCTTAAAATAGTACTAAATAAACATGTTGGTTGTGGTACTGGTTTATATCATTCATGTTGAACGTATTTCATAGAATAGAAAAGTGAGGTGGAAAAGAGATTTCTCTCACCCTAAAATGTAACTGCTTGGGCTGTAGCCTCTAGAGCTGACTCTGACTAAAACTGACTATTTGTAAGACTAAACTATCAAAGGGAGTTATGGAATTTTCTCTTTCGGAGTTGTGGTGTGTGTATATTGCTTTCATCATAGTTATTTCTCACTAAGAGCAGGAATGGTGCTCCGGAAAACTCTTAGGCATTCCATGCCTTTATACCCTGTGAAAAGATATGCTTTGTAAGGGAGTGTTTAAAGTTTTAAATTTATTTGTTCATTTGTTTCAACAAACACAAATGAAAGGCCTATCTGGAAGGAATCCAATGGGGGCAAAAATGGTTAAATGAATAAAAATATACAATAATGTAAAGGCCCAATTCAGTCAGCAAATGAAATATATCTTTGTATATGATCTTTGTAAATTTTGAAATGGAACCCATGATTTTTCTTTTTTTTTTTTTCTCTCTCCCCACCATTCCCTCATTTTGGTGGCTGACACAGGAAATAAGACTTTTAAAAAGGGAAAGAAGAAGGAGTCACCTGTAATCTCTGGAGGAATACTAGAAGTGTTCATCAAAGAAGCAAAGAATTTGACAGCAGTGAAGTCAGGAGGCACTTCTGATAGCTTTGTGAAGGGGTAACTTTGTTTTAGCTCTTTCTGGATGATACTTAATAAGAGATGAAAGGATCTGTGATCCATAAGCCAGTGGTGGCTGTGAACCTTCCGTGTTCTGTTTACTAGAGGTGTATGGGTGAGAACTACCCTTAAATGCTGGCTCTTACATCTAAAACAACACAAATGTTGAGGGAACTGCTGATTCTAGCAGTCACTCTGTTTCCAACATATTTCAGGAATTCCCATCATTCTTACTTTCAAGACAGGCAACTTTTTTCTGTAAGATTCATTTGTTGGAAAAGTGGAAAAAATATGATTTTCTAGGTGTAATGTATTTTTATTGTTCATTATTATCATTTTGTACTGGCAATGTGCAATGATAACCAAAATATCAGATCCTTGATATTTTTCTCTCTTGTGGGAAATTGTAAAAAGTAGAGATGTCAGAGCATTCTTGCTGGACTTATCCACTGTCGAGTGCTTTGGAGAGGCTCCAAGACCACCTGCTAGACATTTGTGCCCAAGTTGTGGAGCAAAGGGCAGCTTCTTGAGGGAATGCAGCCCTTAAAATATATACTCTTGCCCAACTCTAGGCAACTCAAACATCAAATCCCTTTTGATTTCTGACTATTGGATATTTTTATCTTGGAAATTGAGGAACGAAGACTGCAAGGTTATTTTTCATTCATTTGAACACGCACAAAAATGCACATGTGCCAAGCACCAGGTGCTATGCTTTCAAAAATGAATAACATATTATCCCTGCCTTCATGGAGCTCCATAAAGCACATAAGGTAAAACAAATTCCCATGATGCCAGACCATGAGGTTCATTCTTTGAGTCAGATGGCAATATTGTTCCTCTTCTCATGCTGTGTTAGAAAAGTGTATTTTTTCCTACAAAGAAATGGTTTGGGTTCACTCTCACTTGTTCTAACTTTGCCTTTTTGTTGTTTTTTTGTTACGTTGTTTTTTTGTTTTTGTTTTTGTTTTTGTTTTGAGACAGAGTTTTGCTCTGTCGCCCAGGCTGGAGTGCAGTGGCACCATCTCAGCTTACTGCAACCTCCGCTTCCCAGGTTCAAGTGATTCTTATGTCTCAGCTTCCTGAGTAGCTGGGATTACAGGTGCGTGGCACCATGCCCAGCTATTTTATTTATTTATTTATTTATTTATTTTGTATTTTTAGTAGAGGCGGGGTTTCACTACATTGACCAGACTGGTCTCGAACTCCTGACCTCAAGTAATCTGCCTGCCTCAGCCTCCCAAAGTGCTGGGATTACAGGCATGAGCCACCGTGCCTGACCACATGTTCTAACTTTGGTAAAGCCAGTAGTGGGGAGAAGCAGTTCTGGGGCCTCCCCATTGGTGAGTGTGTGTGCCTGAATCCTGGCACATCTGCCCTTCACTCTTTCTTGCAGTGGATTTGAGCATAGAAGAAATGCTTTCTTTGGATACTGCAGTTACAATTTGTGTCATTAGCCCTACCATCCAGTTTAAGCCTGTGCTGCTCACTGTCTGGTGGAATGAGGAGATGGCTCCCAACCCGTGGCCACATTGTGACCTTGCAGCGCTACTTGACATCTTCTGGAGCACTATTCACTTTATCTTGTGGAAAATTTATAAAGCAGAAATAATAAAAGACTATTTTTGTTCTAGAAAGAAAAACAAAAGCCAGTAACTTTCTGGTAAATTCTATCTATAATAATACTTAAACATTAGGCTGATTCTAAAAAGACATGAGATTTTTTTTTTAAAGACAGTGAGGGAGCAAGAATAGACCCTCTGTAAAGCTTAATAATATAAAATATATCCATTAACAATATTTCTGGCTGTGAGCCAAAAGAACAGTGGCTTAAACAAGACTAGTTTTTTTTTTTTTCTCTCTTACATGTAAACAAAGACTGAAGGTAAGGTCTCCAGGGCAGGTATGGAAGCATCATGATTATCAGGGACCCAGGATTTTTCCATCTCATTATGGTATCCACCTAATGGGTTAGGATAGCTGCTCATGTTTCAGCTATCCCATACAAATTCCAGCTGACAGGACACTTCCCAGATGTAAGAAGTAGTTTTATAAGCACTGCTTCTTATATCCCAATGGCCAGAACTCAGTCACATGGCTATTCTAGCTGCAAGGGAGGCTGGGGAATGTAATCTTTATTCTGGGCAACACTGTGCTCAAATAAAAACACAGAGTTTTTTAAGGAATGTAAGGAGAGAATGGATATTAGGAGATAATCAGTCTCTGCTTGGGACATGAAATGAAATCTTAAGTGACTGAATGTATCTTCTTTATTGTAAAGTCATTTGTTTGTAGCACTTTTCATTTTTGTTCCATGTACTAATTCCATATGTACGTATGTCTTCTTTTGTAAAGTATGCTCCCTGAAGGGGGAAAACAGTCATTTTTATCACATACCTAGAGCCTCATACAGTGTTTTGACCATAGTCAAGAAAACCTAGGATACAGGTGTTTTATTTGAAGAGATTTCAGGAAACGCCAGTGAGGAAGTGGAGAAAATGAGACAAGGAAGAAAGAGAAGTTGATTAAAACATATATTAATGGGCAGGTTACCACTGTGGGCAACTGCAACTTGATTCCATTGGGGAAGCAGTGAGGAACTCTGTGGAATATACCTTAGGATTGTCACTTTGAGGGACAGGGAAGCTGGGGAATTATCCACCAATTTCTCAAACTCGTCAGTTAAAGGTTGCCCCAGGGGCATTAAATTCCAAGTAATCCCAGAGTTTCCTGCACATAAGCTGAGCCAGCTAACACAATATCAGATAAATTCCTTAATTAGAGGAATTTATTCCTTGTGTCAAAAGACACAAGCACTTGAGGTAGGAAGCTGAAAGCATATCAGGAACTTCCCATCCTGCTGCAAGTCAGCTCCAAGGAGGGCCAAAAAGATATGAAGCAGGGCATACAATAGTGTCTATTGCAGGAGGTATTTTCTTTTCAAGATGGAAGGAAGGACGAAAATAGGATTAGAAAGGAGAATGAGGGCATTAAAGTCATTCCACTATATAAATCCAGATTTAAGCATATAGAAGCCTGGGAAGAAAAATCAGATAGACACATCACACTTGCGTGCACGTTGACATTTTCTGTCTGCTGTCTTACTGATGGTTTGATTGTTTTTCCTCCTGCAGCTACCTGCTCCCTGATGATAGCAAAGCCACCAAGCACAAAACTCTGGTAATAAAAAAGAGTGTTAACCCTCAGTGGAATCATACATTCATGTTCAGTGGCATCCATCCCCAGGATATAAAGAATGTTTGCCTAGAACTTACCATCTGGGACAAGGAGGCCTTTTCCAGCAACATTTTTCTGGGAGGAGTTCGTTTGAATTCTGGAAGTGGTGAGGGATTTGGGGACCCACAGGGATGGTCTGTGACTGGGTCCGTTTGGGGGCACTATTCTTGCAGGTGTGATGTGCAGTGGATATACATACGTAGTTTCAGCTAAATCCTGAAATTACCACAAATGCTTCATTCCTTTAGCTAAGGATCTATTCATTGTTAAAATACAAATATAACTACAGTACCTTTGTATCCTTAGGCTAGAAGATTGGAAGATATAATGTTGACATTCAGTCCTTTCATAGACTAACATTTACACTTTAGTCTAAGTGAATTTTAAGTACTTTCTTGGACCTTGCTTCAGATTTTGCTCAGAAGATGATTACCAAGACAGCACAGCCTTCTGATAGGAGGACAGTGACTTTCAAGACCAACATTACTTCATCATCTTCTCAGTTCTGTCCAGCACTTGCAGCTATTATTCATACTGGTTGAATTGAAAAGAAATCATTTTTTCCTAAAAATAACACCAATGTTGTTAAAAACAGATCAAGGAAATCCACCACTGGTGCCACAAGACACAACTGTAACAGGGTGAATTGGAAAAGGGATTACAGTAGTAGAGCACGTGCAGTCCCCCTAACTCTCATTATCCCATAGCCTAAGCCAGACATAGATGAGACCATCTGCATACACCATGGTAAATATTTCTGTTGAGGAAGGTCCTATCACTATGATAATTACTTATTTATAGATTAAGGGGAGCCAAGAATATCTATACCACTAAAAGGAAAACTCCCCAGGTCAGAAAAGTGTCCTTGTTAGAAAAAGAGAGCCAAATTCATCCCGTTCTTCTGTCATGTTAGCACAGTCCAGATGAACCAGCTCTCTGCTAAAGTAGGGAGGAAGTGAGTCACCAGGGCCACCCTGATTTGCCTCATACGGCCTAGGCATTAGAGAATAGTGCAGGCTGCAAATGATTGATTCAATTCTAACACCACTCACTATATATACTAAGTGAGAACAAGCCAGTAAAAGGTACTCTGGTCAAAAGGCCCCCTCAGAAGTTGATAGATGCCTTGCAGGAGAGAAAAACATTTCATGTGTGACATATAATGTTCCCATTTCGTTTCTTCAGGTGTGAGCCATGGGAAGAACGTGGATTGGATGGACTCTCAAGGGGAAGAGCAGCGCCTTTGGCAGAAGATGGCCAACAACCCTGGAACTCCTTTTGAGGGTGTACTCATGCTTCGTTCCAGCATGGGAAAGTGTAGACTCTAGAGGGACCAGTTCTCCAAGAATGAGGCCACCAGGGCCTATCTGGCTGTCTTTTCCTACCAGTAGCAAACTGAGACCTGGGATTCTGCTTCCCTGCCATTTCTCATCTGACAGTATCGGGACATGAAGGGAGAGATGTCAGTAGTATGAACATTTAGGGTCTTGTTGAGTGCCTAAAAAACCTATATTTTCTTCCAATCAGGGCCTTCTTGATTGGATAATAGAAAGTGTACTACTCTGTCCTGTCAACGAGCAAATTGTGCAAAGGTTTATAGGGTTTATACCATAAAAGAAATGGCACAAGCTCATTTGAAACTACAATTGAGATTGGGGTCCTCCATTTGCTAATTATAAGTTACTTTAGATTTCCTCAAATCCTTTGAAGAGAAAGGGGACCACTGAGAAGGTAGATCACTTGAAAAGTTAGAAGAAATGATACTGGCCAACTGTTGCTCACCCTAGGAATCCACATGCTCTCAAGAAGGCATTGTGGGGATGGTTGCTTGAGCAAGGGGGTTGTCCTGTTATTGCAGCAAACTTGTGGATTAACCAAGTAGTATTTCAAGATGGACTGACAGGGCTTTCTATGATTACTATAGAATTTATCATCTAAATCAGTTTATTTTTGAGAACAAAGAGAACTAAATAACTACATCAGAACAATTGATGTTGATTAGAATTGACCTGGGAAAATTGGGATGTAGGGTTACCCTACTGATGACCTAAGAGAGCTCTGTTGTAAACATTTATTTTATAAAATGTTCTAAGCCATTAACTAAAAGGGAATGAGAAATAATGGTCAATTGATGTACCTTTTCACATTGTGTTCATTGATGAGACTAGTTTAATGAAAAAGGAGGTACTCTACCTGCTATTTTACTTCTGTTTCTCTTCTGCCCTGTTATGGGAGAGAATCAAGGACTCCATCTGCTCTCTCCCCCCTTGTCTTCTCCTTCGTTGAGTTTTTCTTATCTCCTTTTGCAGTGGTTAATCATTGTCACAATAATGCTGAATGAAAAAAACACCAAATGTCAGTAGCTTAAAATGACAATCCTTTTTCTCATAGTTCTGAAGACTGGCTATGGCACCTCTGCTTCCTGCTACAGGCCTGAGGTTCTAGGTTGGCTTCTTATGCCTCATTCTCTTTGAGCCCAAGGGATAGCCAGAGCATCTGGATGGCAGAATTGCAATAGGATGAGCCCCACTGCTCGGGTACATTTTCAGCCCCTGGTTGTGTCATGTCTACTGATATCTCATTGGTCAAAGGAAGTCAGATGGCCAACATGAAGAGGCAGGGAAATATGCACTGCCCACAATGAAGCCAGGACAAGAGTGAGGATGCAGGAAGGGATGAAGAATTGGGGCCAACAGTTCAATCTACCATATCTTCTCTCACTTGGAATTCCAGATGCTTGAGCCACGAAACTTAGATGCAAAGAAAGTTAAAGCTAGAAGGAACCTCAGGCCCAGTTCCTCATTTTGCAGATTCCAAACGTGAATTTCAGAGAGCTGAGATAACTTGCCCAAGGCCATATAGAGGCTGTGACTAAATCTGGACTTAAATCCAGGCTATCAATCTTAGGCCAGTGTTCTTTTTTCACTGCAGTCCTTGGCATAATGCTATGCTTATTAAGGTGGATAAGAGGGCATATGTCAAGAAATTTGGAGCAGAGTCCGATTACTTGAGCATGAACATACCTGACCAAGGTATGTTCTAGAGTCATATTCTAGCCTCTGAGCTCATTTTTTTCATATGAATTCATATAAAATCCTCGAAAGTTTAGAAACTGAGTTTTAGTAGTAACAGAGCTAGAATCAGCTTCAGGCTTATTTCTGCTAGTTGTTCCATATTTCTAGATTTCCTCTTGAATTTTGAAAACTGATTTAAGAATATATTTAGTATTATTATTAGTAAGGGAATAAGCAATCCAATTTCAATTTTATTCAGAAATAGGTCACCTAATTCTAGAAAATGGTTATTAGTCTAGTGTCGCTTAGCAAGGTACTTAAAAGAAAAAACTGCACATATCCCTGTGCTGCCCTTCTTAAAAACAGAAAACAAAAAGTGTAAGATCATCATTGCTTCCCCCATAGGAAAAATAAAATGTCTTCAGACTTGATGTGACTCATTGTGTCTTCAATTATATTTTTAGGGGAGGTAAGAGGGTGGTGATGGTGAAATCTGGAAGCATATCTGGAATAGACACAACAAAGTGGATTTATTCATTAATAATAAATATGAAGGCCGGGCACGGTGGCTCAAGCCTGTAATCCCAGCACTTTGGGAGGCTGAGACGGGCGGATCACGAGGTCAGGAGATCGAGACCATCCTGGCTAACACGGTGAAACCCCGTCTCTACTTAAAAAAAAAAAATACAAAAAACTAGCCAGGCGAGGTGGCAGGCGCCTGTAGTCCCAGCTACTCGGGAAGCTGAGGCAGGAGAATGGCATGAACCCGGGAGGTGGAGCTTGCAGTGAGCCCAGATCGCGCCACTGCACTCCAGCCTGGGTAACAGAGCGAGACTCCATCTCAAAAAATAATAATAATAATAATAATAATAATAATAAAAAATATGAAAAATAATAAATCTTAAAATTTAGAACTTGAACTCAAGAAGAGCATGAACTTTATGTGTTCAGATCTTTGCCACACATAGAGCAACTCTCTGTATCATGATTTCATAAAATCCAACATCTAACTAGGTATTCCCATAATGCAAAACTCAAGTATGCAAAAATCTATCAGAAACCTATTGGTGTTGCTCTTGGAAATAAAAGGCAAAAGTATGGGCTAGAACTACAAATAGTATTTTTAAATATAGGTAATGCATGTGAATGGCACAGAATTCAAATAGTTCAAAATCGTGAAAAGTTAAGTCTTCCTCTTTCCTGTCCAATTCTCACTGTCTGCATGGCACCACCCTAGTCCAAGCCACCGTCACCCGTCTCCAAGATTATTGCAGCAGTCTCCTAACTGCCATCTATGCCACCAATTTTGTCCTCCCTCAATCCATTCCTCTTACTGTGACCAGAGTGATTTGTCTCAGCATGTTATTTTAAAATGTTCAAATATACAGAAAAGTTGAAAGAACTTTATAGTGAACACTCTCATATCCACCACCCAAATTCAGCTCTGCCATTCGCATTTGACTATACTTGTTTGCCATTATTGATCTATCTGTCCATCCCCAGAGTGATCTGTAAAACCCTCCATGGCTTCCCATTGTCTTGAGAATAAAATATAAATTCCTGCTCATGGCCCTGCATAAGATGGTCACTGCCAGTTTCTCCCAGGCCATGCCACCTCTCCCCTTCTCTTCAGTTACAGAATTCATTTTTCTTCTTCTCAGTTGTGCCAGGCTCTATCCCACCTCGTGGCCTTTGCCAGGAATCTTCTTGGTCCATCTTTTCTTCAGCCTGATTCCCATCAGTCATCCAGGTCTATAATGTTACCTCCTCAGGGAAACCTTCCCTGATGACTCTCTACTGAACCAGGTCACAGCAGCCTGCCTCTATTTCCCCTTCAGTGTACGCATCACAATTATAATAAATTATGAATGTAATGAGTCCTTTAATATCTGTGTCTGTTTCCTCCCTGCCACATCCCTACAATGTAAGATTCGGAAGGGTGGAGACAATATTTATATTTTTTACAGCTATATCCTGGTCCTTAGCTCACAGTAGGTAATCAAAAAATATTTGCGGAATAAGTGAAAACAAACTAATGTAACACCATAGAATATTAGACGTAGGCATCTTTAGAAACCACCACTTCTAACTCCCAATTAACAGATAAGGAAACTGGGGCCCAATTAGATCAAGAAAAATCTCTGATTTCGTTTACTGATTGGTCTTTTAAAAGCCACCTTACTATAGTCGCCATGCTGTGCAATGACACAGCATAATGACTATACTTAAAAATAATGTATATTTCAAAACAGCTAAAAGAGAGGATTTCAAATGTTCTCACCACAAAGAAATAATAAATATTTGAGGTGATGGATATACTAATTAGCTTGGTTTACTCATTCCACAGTGTATATGTGTATCAAAACACCACATTGTACTCCATAAATATATACAACTGTTATTTATCAACTAAAAATAAAATTAATTTTTATAAAAGCAACCTTCCAACAAGTACTGTAGTTAAACAACCCTAGACTGTTGGGCCCAGCTTGTCTCAGCATAGATCAAAGCACAAAGTATGCTTCCAGCCCCACATGTCAGCTTATCAGAAGAAGAGACCACAGCCTTGCATGGAACGTCCTACTCCTTCTTTGAAGATCTCAACTGTCATTTTTCCCTCAGATAAATCAAGTTGAAAAGGGACATGGACAAGTCTAAAACCCTGATTTTACCCATGCACACATAAATAACACATACAGGATGTGGTAGATTCATTCTGTTAATCAGCTCTCCTTTCATTTATGTTGTTATTGTCGCTGGACTCATCAGGGTGTAGATTTTCCAGGCCACGAAAACACCATAAACAAATGTATTTTGAAGTAACCTCATACTCTTGGCCTCTTTTTCCTTAAGAAATGTTCACAAATGTATGGCTAATAATCATTAGGTACTTAGGTAATTAATGAATGAATTGAGCCTACCTGATTCACAGTCATGTTAGCCTCATCATTACCTACTGCTCCAAGTTTTACCTTTGGTGAAGGAGGAGAAAACCATGGAAGTAATTAGAGTAAACCCCACCTTTAGGAGCAAAGTGTAATGAAATATCAAGTCCTAGAAGCATCTGAAAGTGAGAACTAGTAGCATTTTGAGCTGTGATCAATGTTTGTTTTTCTGCCACGTATACATTTCACATTAAAGTGAATATTGTCTCTGGAAGTTGCCAGAAGGGTTTTACTCTTACAATAGTGTCATGTATGGCCTCTGAAATTGAAGAAAAATAGGAGGGGAATGTTCATACCGGCAAAAGTACAACAAAAATTAGATCTGGAAAGGTTTGAACAATAGCCAGGAAAATTGTACTACATCAAGGA